ACATTGCAGTTTTACCCAACTGTATTTCAAGTGTAAGATAGCTATTTATGGCTAGTGGTTACCGTACTGGATGGTACAACTTTAGAATATGTTACCATCTATTAAGTCTTACTGCTCCTTTATTTTGAACAAACCCAGTCACTAAAAAATTGACATTGGAATCCTGAAACTTTAGAAGTGAAAGTGTACTTAGAAATCATCTAATGCAATCTTCTCAATTCTGTATCAAAATAAGAAAACAACTTTGGGATTAGAATGACAGCCAGGTTATGTTCTCCTGAGTCCTAAATCCCATGTTGTTAAAATGGGTACATCAGCATTTGAATTTATTAGAAAAATTTCTGGCCTTGCCTTGAAAAAAAATCACTGTAGAATTCCCCTTAAAATTGCCCACTTCTGGAAAATTTAACACCTGCAAACTTTTATTTTTAAAAATAGAATAATACGTACTTTATTTTTAAAAATAAAAATTCGGTTTGCACATACATTTTCCATACTGCATCCATTGCACGAAGTGATTCCACCTGCTCATTTTTAGTGCCAAGTTAAAAATGGCATATTTTGTAGATTGAAGAGCAACTCTTATCTATTTACACAGCTAAAAGGAAAAAGAAATGTTTTAAGGTTTATACACTTACATTTTTTATTTTTATTTTTTGGCCATCAAACTTGCAGACTTTTCTTACTTAGTTGCTCACTCTTCTGAGTCTAAATATCTACTGGAGATTTTGACTTTGTGTTCTGTTCACTGTCCTCGAGAATCTAAAGGACAAGCTTGCCTTCAACTATCACATAGTACAACCCTCATTTGGACAGTTACTAGGTACTATTAAAATCTCCCATAGGGCAGGAACTGGCGATTGCAGCAGTAGACTTGATTATCAGATTTCATCAAAGGGAGCCCAAGGGCAGCGTGGCCATGGATGCCGGCACTCATGGGGATAGACAGAGAGCAGCAGGAGGAGACCTTGGTTTCCAGAAAGAGCCATAGAAAGAACTCCAGGGAGTGGCTGTGCCCACCGTCTGATGCTTGAATCCTTATATAACCACTCTGAGAAAGGACTTTTGCTTGGATTTTTTTCAGGGATAAGGGAACAGGCTTTCTCCCAGAGTGATCTGCTCTATTTGGAACAGATCTGTCTTTGATAGAAAGTTCTTCCTTATGCCTAGCAAAAAATCAGCCCTCTTGACTCTCCACGTACCGATCCTAGCTCTGCCTGACCTTTGAGGCTCCAAATAACAAGTCTAATCCATGTGACAGCTTTTAAAGACAGGTCATGTACCCCTCAAGTTGCTAGGTAGAACCTTCTCAGTGCTTTCAGCCATTCCTCATTTAGTTGGTTTCCTACCCCTCTTGACCCTAGTTCTGACCCCTGGATATACCACAGTTTGTTGTTATCCCCTTTATAGCATGCTACCTGGAAGAGAACACATTGTCTGGCAATTCTGAGTTGTGTAATATCTACCCATGTGTAACATCTAGCATGCAGAGTGAATGGAGCAGATGTCCACTTACTGGCACATAGAGTGGATGGAGCCGATGTCCATACTAGCATGTGGGATGGATGGAGCCAATGTCCACCCGTGATTCTCTCATGTCCTAATGCAACCTAGAATTGTGTTGGTTTATTTGGTATCTCGGATTATATTATTGTCTTCTGTTGAGCTTGTCATCAACCAGAACTCCCAAGCAGAATTTTTTTTTCTTTTTTCAATATGCATGCAGTTGCTAAGCCACATCTTCCATATCCTGCAGGCTTATTGGACCTTCTGTAGATTTCAGCTTCTTCTTGAGCAGTTTTCTTAGCAATATTCTGCAGTAGGTAACTTCAGTTTTTATACACAGCATAAAGAAGGCTCTTTACAGTGTTTGAGATAAATTGAACATCTGTACCAAGTAGGCAACAGAGTGGTTTCTCGGTTGCTAGGGAAGGATTGGGCAACTTATGAGTCCCTGTATTCCATCCTTTCACCTTCAGTAATATATAGGTGTCAACCTAAAGGAAGAAACTGAGACACAAAATGCAATTTTTAACAATTTACTTGAACCAAAGTGAGGACAGCTGCCCGGGACACACTTTCCAGTTGCCTGGGGGAGTGCTTCCTTTGGCCTTTGTTACCACAGGTTCTTAAAGGCAAAAGCGAACAAGGAGAGGACTGATACAAAGTGATATGACGTGAATTCTCATCAGTTTACAAAAATAGCATGGATTAGTGATGGGCTGTACATTGTTGGACTATAGGGTATGAGTTATGATGTCCAGTGTTAGCATTGTATGACTTAGTGGTGTCAGTCTAGAACCCACATAGCAAGTGGCTTCAAGAGGTAATTATTTAACTCAAGGCGGGAGAGAGACGTGACTGCTGTCACATTTTAGTGCCTCTCTGGACCTGTAATTTAAAGGGATTCCTCAGATAAAAAGTTTCTTTTCTTTCTCACAAGATTCACTTGGAAGGTTCTATCTTCAGATGCTTTTGGTATGTTGGGACTAGAAATTAGCAGCTTTTTCTTTTTTTCACCAGAGGCAGGGTCTCACTATGGTGCACAGGCTGGTCTTGAATTCCTGGGCCCAAGTGATCCTCCCACCTCAGCCTCCCCAAATGCTGGGATTACAGGTGTGAGATACTGCACTCAGCTGCTGTTTGCATAAATAATTATGTTCATGGACGCCTAGAATGTCAGTGCTAGAGGGGACTGAGAGGTATTTTAGTTTACACCCCGTGCTTTTTGCACATTTGAAAATGGTTCAGAGGTACTAAGCAAACTGTTGACAGAGGCAGGCTTGGCGCCTGGGCCTCCTGATGTACCTATAAACTGACTTACGAACTTATGCCTATATAGCAAGAGGTGTCAATGCTGGTGTTAAGATACTTCAGAGATATTTTTTTCTCCCCACCCTCTAATGAGTTTATATGCCCCAGAGCTGGATGGTGTCCTTGAATTCCTCTAGCTCATGAGTAAATGAAGCTGTCATAGATTTTTAGCCAAGTGGCTCTGCCAGTGAAGCTAGGCAGGATCCTCTCTGGGATTTCCAAGTCCTTTGCTAGCATTTTGCCAGATACTTCCCTTGTGAGATAGCTTGGGGGTCCTTCCTACATTGCAGCTGGTGAGAGAAAATGTGATCTCCCATGGATCTCTCTGGTGCCAGGCTGGGGTGTTTCCAAAGGAGTCCCCTGGGACCGGACCTAAGGGGAGGCTTTGGCGGAGTACCATCCTCTGGCAGGTGGTGCTGGGTGTCAGGGCAGGGTGGGGTGCTGTGACAGCAGTTGGAGATCCTGTCTCCTCTCAAGCTAGCTGAGATAGAGTGCCCAGGCTTAGGGTGGGCATCCAGCCCCATGCCGGAGGACAGTCTCATGGGCAAGCAGCTGTGCCAGTCTGCCAAGTGTTGGGAGGATTCTTGTCATTGTTAATATTAATGTACCCCTTTTTTGTCACTTGGTTTTCGAAGAGCAGGAAGTTGGCTCTTTCCCTGTGCTGTAAGACTCTCTCATAGCAGCTGGCACTCTATAGAGTAGATGTTTGCAGATTCAGACGGGGGTCAGGAGATAACGTTTTCTGCTTGGCACTACCTAGCTGTCGCAAGGCAGGTTACTTCATCTTTTAGCACTGATTCTTCATCTTTAAAGTGGGGCTTAGAGGGACCTGTGACGGCTCATTTAGCAATGGTCTCTAGGATCCTAGGGGCCTACATCACTCCCAAGATGTGTCCTTACTGTGTATCTTAAAGAAGCCCTTGCTCTTCTCTTTTGTATAGTATTAATAGTATTTCTGAGTAAATTCACCCAGGGGACACCACTCTCACCATCCTCCCAACACATTGAAAGGAGAATTTTTTTCTCTCACCATTTTAAAAATGAGCACATCTCTAAAAATAAAAAGGAAGAAGGGTTGTGGACGGGAAATGTTGAGACAAGGGCCAGGGTGCGCACCCTTCAGGTTCCTGGTCTTCCTCTGACCTACTTTCAGCTACCATTTCTCGATACTCAGATTGGCAGCAAGAAAGGAGTCCCAGGGTCAGGGTATAAGAGTTAACTGGTGGCCTCCAAAGAGTATAGGATCAGCCTGTGACCACAGCAGGGAGAAAGAGAACAGCATGTGTGGCTCTGGGTTTTGGTGGGAGTTTGAGCAGAATTGGATGATCCAGAGGGGATTTCTGTTTTCTTTGTTTTCTTTTTTTTGAAATGGAGTTTCACTCTTGTCGCCCAGGCTGGAGTGCAGTGGTGCGATCTCGGCTCACCGCAATCTCCGCCTCCCGGTTTCAAGTGATTCTCCTGCCTCAGCCTCCTGAGTAGCTGGGATTACAGGCATGCACCACCACGCCTGGCTAATTTTGTATTTTTAGTAGAGACAGGGTTTCTCCATGTTAGTCAGGCTGGTCTCGAACTCCGGACCTCAGGTGATCCACCCATCTCAGCCTCCCAAAGTGCTGGGGTTACAGGCGTGAGCCACCGCACCTGGCCCAGAGGGGATTTCTTAAGTGAAACGTGTTCTGCATTGAAGGCAGAGGAAACATAGTATACAATGAGAAATACCCAGATTTCCATCCCCGCAAGAGCTTGTGCATATATATATATATAAAATCGAACTATTGTGCAAGGTCCAAGAAATTAGCTCAGAGAAAGGAGTCAATAATCCTGACCTACGGAATGGGGAATGCTTCCAGGAAGCCCTTCTCTTTCATTTTTGCCCACTCCTCCCAAGCAGTGCCTCACTTCTGCCTTGTCTAGCTGTACTCTGGAAAATTAAGAAATTGATGAGTGTAGCACCGAGTATACCAATGGGAAGGATGGGAGTCAGAAGTCAGGTAAACTCAGCCCGCCCCTATGTACTGTGCACTTTTCCATTTCCCTTGGTACCAGGCACTTTCATACTTAATCCATAGCGCAGCTGTCACAGTGAGCAACTCCGACAATGACAGCTTCTACCCCAGAGGCCACCCCGAACATGGAGCTAAAGGCTCCAGCTGCGGGAGGTCTTAATGCTGGCCCTGTCTCCCCAGCTGCCATGTCCACGCAGAGACTTCGGAATGAAGACTACCACGACTACAGCTCCACGGACGTGAGCCCCGAGGAGAGCCCGTCGGAAGGCCTCAACAACCTCTCCTCCCCGGGCTCCTACCAGCGCTTCGGTCAAAGCAACAGCACAACGTGAGTAGCTGCTACCTTCTCCTCTCCCGGGTGGGATTCGTGTTCCTAAGTCTCCCTGGGACTTATTTTTCCTCCCCAGTTTCATCAGTCCTCCACTTTACAGATGAAGGTCGGCAATGAAGAGATTGGGTGAGCGACTGCGCTGAGATTTGCCTTCCTGGGCTGCCGCTCTCTAGGCAGTTTCTTATTCTTTGTTCCTTTCAGCTGTGTTGGCCCCACAAGGCTGGTGCCAAGTAAGAGCTTGGACTTAAGAAAAGCTTCTACAGAGGACATTCTTTTAATTTAGAACTGTGTCATCTGTGCTAGAACCCCAAATAATCTCCAAGCATCATCGGGAGCTTCCTTTGCAAAGTCTCCCCCTGACTTCTGCCTCATCACCAAGTCACTATTTGTTTGAACTGAAGAAGTGGGAAGAGAGAATTAACTTCTGCACTTAAAAAATTCAGGGTTGATAGGAAAGGAAAGATAGACTTCGCATTCTCCAAAGAGGGCTTCCATCTTGTCTCCAGAAACTGGAACCCCAGACTCATCTGGGCTGAGTTTGGCCCTCTTCAGGTCTCACTTTCCCCAAATGTAAGGAAAAATTGAGGACTCCACTGTGAAGCTATGCTGGCTATGTGGGGCTCACCACTTGAATTAGAAAATTCAGAGAAAGTTTTGCTATTCCATTGAGTTTCCCAGCTACTCCTGATCTCAGCAGACCTCTGACATTTCTCTGTGTCCCAGTATCTCAGCTTTTGTAGCCCTTCTGTTTATTCCTCAAGCTTAGCTATCAGCCTTTCTGTGTGTCCTTGTGGATTGAGTGTGACTTACTGAGAGATCCTTCATGTCCTAGACTTGGGCCATTCCTGATGACTGCCCAAGCGGACCATGGAAGCTTCTCCTGGAGCTCATCACTGGAGAAGCTCCCTCTGCGTGCACTGTCTGCCGGTACAGGGCATTTTCTCTTGTGAACTGGGGTGGAACTAGAAGATGTGGTCTGTCCACATTCCCGGCCCATCACCACTACCAGCTGATTTCTATGCCCCAGGCTGGAAGTACTCAACCAGTCCTCTAAGATTTGGTTTCTGTGGCTTATTTCTCAGGGGTATGTTTTTGTAGATTCCCCATTAGCCTGCAGTGGGAGTTAGCTGGTGGTAGATTGCCTAGGACACAGCTGGCAGCAGTGTGGATCACCCTGCCCCTCTTTCCTCCAACCTTATCAGCGTTGGCAGCCCCCATGCAGAAGCAGCTCCACACACAGCCAATGGCATGTGATGGCTTCCCTTCAGAGGTCATGCTCGTTATCGTAAGATACTTTTAAGCTCCCCTCTCTGTAGTTTCCTTTGCAATTTTTGCTCCTTTTTGATCTCAGATATCAACTTGTCTAAGCAATACTTACCAGATGGGATCTGGATTTTTATTTTTAGAGAGACCTCTCTGAAGCTCAAAACCTACCAACTCGCAACTTTAGGATAGTAGCTCATAGGTTGTGGACATGTGAAAGCTGATGCATGCCTGTTAGCTATTCTGAATATATCTTTTATCTCTACATCATGTTATAATTAACGGTCAATTCAAAATATGTCCTTGTTTCTTGGAAATCGAACAAATCAGAAGATAACTTCCTCGGGCTTGTATTGTGACATTTTCCAGGATACACTTTGTTCCAAGGTTCCCTTCCTGCCCTGATGTTGTGATACAATGTAGGTGACCAGGAAAGCCCATCTGTAGTTGATGGCAGGTATTACAGTCCCATTACAGGTGGTACAAGATAAAGTAATTTGCTAGGGCATAGAGGACTGGTTGAGTACTTCCAGCCTGGGGCATAGGATCCATGCAAGCATTTATGTAGAAAACATGCCAGGTATGATTAAGGTAGAGGTTGATTTGGAGGACCTTCTTTACCTAAATTAATCTTTTAATATGTAGGAAGTATTAGGGACAAGTTTTTGAGCTGGGTTCCTTTTATATTTCTGCTTTGCCCCACCCTTTTATCTAGTTTGCCAAGGAACAAAATACATGCAAGTACTTCTACACCTACTGCACATATGCATGCACACACCTGGCTCTTCTAGAAGTCAAGGGCTCAGTAAAAAGCCCTAGTTAGGGGGTGCAAATAGGAACCCCAAACACTTCCATGAGTTTCATGAGTTATTTCTTTTTATTTTTTTGAGACAGGGTCTTGCTGTGTTGTCCAGGCTGGAGTGCAGTGGCACAGTCATGGCTCACTGCAACCTCCATCTCCTGAGCTCAAGTGATCCTTCCACCTTAGCTTCCTAAGTAGCTGGGACTACAGGCATGCACCTGGCTACCTGTTTTTTTGTTTTTTTGGGGTTTTTTTTGTAGAGATAGGGTTTTGCTATGTTGCCCATTTGGTCTTGAATGCTTGGACTCAAGTGATCCACCCGCCTCAGCCTCCCAAAGTGCTAGGATTATAGGCATGAGTGCCATGCCCAACCTGTGAGTTATTTCTTAGTGTGTTCAGTGAGGTTATTTACTAACACTTGATATTGTCAAGCTATTGACTGCTTTGAAGACAGCCTCATTTTATGCTGTTGGGAAAATTTTTCTTCTAGTTGCGCCTCTGAGTTCCATTATATATATCAATCCTCCGTGCTTCTTCCCTGTGCAAACTGAAACCAGCAGACTGAAACTGGCTATCTAAAGGTGAGCTGGAGTAGTCATTTGCACAATGTGGTCTGCACACTTTTTGGACTTCCCAAGACCATTTCAAGAAGTCTATGAGGCTAAAACTATCTTCATAATAATACTCAGATGTTATCTGCCTTTTCACTTGTGGATATTTGCACTTATAATGTAGAAGCAATGGTGGGTAAAATTGCACTGTAGAATGAATCAAAGCATGGCACCAAATTATGCTAGTTGTCATTGTATTTTTCGCTGCCACACATGCGCAAAAAGAAAAAGCCCTTTTCACTTAAGAATGTCTTTGATGAAACGGCAAGATTACTAACGTTTAAAAACTTGAGAACCTTTGGTATAGGTCTTTAATATTCTGTGTGGCAAAATGGGAAGTATGCATGAAGTACTTCTGTGAGTACCAAAATATGTTACTTGTCTCAAGGCAAAGACTTTAAGTGATTGTTTGAGTTGTCAACCAAACTTGCTTTTTTTTTTTTTTTCCCCATAGAACTAGAAAGAACAACTAATAAACTGTAGGTCATTCAGACCTGAGTACTTGTAAGACATTTTCTTGAAAATGAAAGAAATCAACTCATTACCTCAAGGAAAACAATAGACAATACATATCTCTCGATCAGAATAAAATTCAAACTTTCAAGCAAAATTAGGAAAAAAAAAAAACTTGTGTCCAGTGCCATGAGCCTGATAGCCCCTCTACTTGAAGACTTTTCTGATGAGATAAGTGGTGATATTAACAAATGTGACTTTTTGGTATTATTGATCTATAATGAAGATATTAGAGTTGGAAGATCTGTATAAACTCAACCGAAGTATGATGTTAGGAATTCTGTGTGGGTAAAAGATCCATTGAAAGAGCAAGATCACCAATGGATTTTTCTTTTTTTTTTTTTTGAGACAGAATCTTGCTCTGTTGCCCAGGCTGGAGTGCAGTGGCACAATCTTGGCTCACTGCAACCCCTGCCTCCCAGGTTCAAGCAATTCTCCTGCCTCAGCCTCCCAAGTAGCTGGGATTATAGACAGGGGCCACCACGCCCAGCTAATTTTTGTAGTTTTAATAGAGATGACGTTTCAGTATGTTGGCCAGGCCAGTCTCGAACTCCTGACCTCAGGTGATCCACCCTTCTTGGCCCCCCAAAGTGCTGGGATTACAAATGTGAGCCTCTGTGCCCAGACCACATTGCAGGTAACTTCTAAAAAATTAACATGTGTTGCATTTTGGAGTAGTGTCAAAGGAAAATTGCTATAATTGTCTGTGGAGGCCATTAAAATACTCCTTCTTTTCCAACTACATGTCTGTGAGAAAATAAATTTTTTTCGTAAATTTCAACAACAACATATAACAGTAGATTCAACGTAGAAGTAGGTAGTCCAGCTGTCTTCTGTTAAGTGAGATACTAAAGAGATTTTGGGGAAAAAAAAAAAGACAGTGCCATTCTTACCACATTTTCTTTTTTGGAAAATAGGGTTCTTTTTCATTAAAAAAAACTATTTGTATTAACATGCAATGAACTTACTGTTATTTTTTAATTAAATATTTTTAAATTTTTCTCAGTTTTAATTTTTTTTATAGTATAGATCAGCAGATGTAATCCACATCAGCTAAAGCTCTTTGGCATCTTCAGTGATTTATCAGAGAATAAAGGGGTCCTGAGACCAAAAAGTCTAAGAATGAGTGATGGAGCATGAATGGAAGCACAGAGATTTGCTAGGCTTCTCCCTTCCCTTTTCAGAAAGATAGCCCTCCCTTGTAGTTAAGACTTCACTGTTCATGAAGTTGATTTTGTGCTTTTCACACAGTACTGGGTAATCCCAGCTTGGGGCCATCTATTAAAAATAGTAATTTTCGTCAGTTGCTTGGAGTCCTGGTGTTTCAGAGCTGAAGGGATCATGGAGATCATTTTGTCCTAGTCTGGTTCCCTCACCATACAGATGAGACAGCAGGCCCAGGAAGGGAGGGGAGGAATTGTCATATGAAGGTGATGGCAGAGCTAGGGTGAGGGACCTAGTGTCTCATGCTAGCCAGCTCAGAGGCATTTTGGGGAGGTCTCTGGTGGGTAGGTGGGTTTGGTACAGTGCTTACCTTTGCCCTTAAGTGGATTAAACATTTGTCAAGATAGAAATTTACTGGACCTATTATCTTGCAGCCACAGGATACTGGTAATGCATTTACTGTAGACACATGTAATGCTTAAGCTATTTCCTCAGGACATCTTAACCTCTTCTCATGTGGAAGCAAAGTAGTTTCCTTGTTCTTTCTTGAAAAAGATGGGGACAGTAGGAAGATCAGGAGGTTTTTTCCCTCAAGGTAAGAGGAGAAAGGTTAAAATGAAGTTCCTTTCCAGGGGGTGTAGATGGGTCTTATTAATGGCTTATATGAGTAACAAGTGTTACTTGCTTTGAGTTTCTAGTGAATTGCAGATCTGAAGAAATGCATGTAAACATCAGTTTTGAGGGGTTTAGGTTACATGTTCTGTAGAACCACAGACAGTGCCGGGGCCAAATCCTAAGTGATTTGGGGCAGAATGATACTATATTTGACCTGTTTCCTATCCTTCTGGAGGTAACAATGGATAGAAACTGAAGACACGACCACCCCTCTTGTCTTCAGCATAGCAGGAAGACAAGGAACCCCTTGGATGAGTTCCTATTCCCTGCAGAAAAAAGAGAAACTTCCTGCCTCTGTCCTCACCCTCACCCTAACTCGAATGGCAACTAAACCCAACTACTCCTTCTGATTCCCATCCCAGCTCGCTCTCTAGGGTGCTGTTCCGAAGCCCTTCTCTTTGCCAGTGGTGTCTTTTTCCCCAGAAGCACATTTACAGTTCCTGCCTATGCTGCCGGGCTCAGCTCGGGTCTCTCTTCTGTACAAAGCCTTACCTGCCTCCCTTCTCCCTGGTGTCTGTTCTTGGGTTTTTCTTTTCCTTTTTTTGAGACGGAGTCTTACTCTGTCACTCGGGCTGGAGTGCAGTGGTGCGATCTTGGCTCACTGCAACCTCCGCCTCCTAGGTTCAAGCAATTCTCCTGCCTCAGCCTCCCAAGTGGCTGTGATTATAGGTGCCTGCCACTACACCCAGCTAATTTTTTGCATTTTTAGTAGAGACGGGGTTTCACCATGTTGGCCAGGCTGGTCTTGAATGCCTGACCTCGTGATCCACCCACCTTGGCCTCCCAAAGTGCTGGGATTACAGCCGTGAGCCACTGCGCCCAGCTGCTGGGTTTTTCTTAAAGACAACAATCTATTTTTGGTGGTGATTAATGTGTTCCCTTATTTTCCCCGAGACATTATTTCTGGAGGCTGAGATCCATACCAGATTCATACTTATTTTCACCACTGCAGTTAACACAATGCTTTATATGTGATAGATGGCATTTGTTGACTGAAAAAATGAATGAGGAAGTGTGAGAAGCTTTACCATTACAGCTTGAAGGGGACAGTTTGTACAAATCCACCCTCACAGCAGAAGAGTAAACTAGGTGACTATCTGAAAGGGCTTCTCTGGTCCTAGGACTCTATGGCATTTGACTTTTTTTTTTTTTGAGATGGAGTCTCGCTCTGTTGCCCAGGCTGGAGTGCAATGGTGCAATCTCGGCTCACTGCAACCTCTGTCTCTCGGATTCAAGCAATTCTCTTATCTCAGCTTCCTGAGTAGCTGGGACTACAGGTGCCCGCCCCCACGCCCAGCTAATTTTTGTATTTTTAGTAGAGACAGGATTTCACCATGTTGGCCAGGATGGTCTCAATCTCGACCTCGTGATCTGCCCGCGTCAGCCCCCACAGTGCTGGGATTACAGGCATGAGCCACCGCACCTGGCCTGATTTTTTTTTTTTTTAAATACAAAGTGTATCAGGGACTTCTGGCCTCTTATGGTGTGGTGTGACTTTTACGGTATTCACTTTGTATCTTTCTGTTACAGGGTTTGGGCTTCTATTTTTTTTTTTTTAAATTTCCTGTGTTCTCTCACCAGTGTTTGTCCGTCATAGTTTGGTTTGTCATCCTCTGTTGCAGTTTTGGGGTCTGAGTCTTTTGGTTTTTTTTGAGATGGAGTCTCCCTCTATTGCCTAGGCTGGAATACAGTGGCACGATCTTGACTCACTGAAACCTCTGCCTCCCGGGTTCAAGCTCAACCTCCTGAGAAGCTGGGATTACAGGTGCATGCCTCCATGCCCGGCTAATTTTTGTATTTTTAGTAGAGACAGGGTTTCGCCTTGTTGACCAGGCTGGTCTCGAACTCCTGACCTCAGGTGATCCACTGCTTCGGCCTCCCAAAGTGGCGGGATTATAGGTGTAAGCCACTGCACCCAGCCAGGTCTGAGCGTTTACAATGGTCAGTTCAGTGATTAGAACCAGACCCAAATATACTTGGAAAAGGTAGAGTGTCTGGAGAGAGTTGGAGCAGGCAGTCAGTTGGAGCACCCCTCTGATCTAATCTCTGAGAGAAGGGATTCTCAGAAATATCACAGAGAGTGGGGACTTACAGCACAGTGGATAAGAGGGGGAGCTCTGGAGTCAGACTGCCCAGATTTGAATCCTGCCCCAGCCCTTTACTAGCTGTGTGACCTTGAGCAAACTGCTTGATCATCTATAAAATAAAATCTTACAGGATTGTTGTGGAAATAAAATAAGATAATGCATGTAAAGCACTGAGATCCTAATAAAAGTTAACTGTCATGGTTATCATTTCTTTGGCTGTCTTCCACTTCAGATGGTTCCAGACCTTGATCCACCTGTTAAAAGGCAACATTGGCACAGGACTCCTGGGGCTCCCTCTGGCAGTGAAAAATGCAGGCATCGTGGTAAGGGTCTGCATCAGTAGAGGGGAGTGGTGACAAATTTTAGGAGACAGCTTTTTGTTGTTGTTAAAATGTACTTGCTTTAAAACATTTTAAATAGAGAAGCATTTTTTTAAAATTCAGTTGACAGAAAGCAGAATTCAGACATTCATTCACCTAAAGATATTTATTGAGAGTGTTCTGTGTGTTAGGCACCATTCTAAGCTCTTAGAATACATCAGTGAATTAAAGATTCCTGCCCTCATGGAGCTTACTTCATGGTGGAGAGGATGTACTGAGATGGCTCGAGCAGTTTCTGTCAGTAATATGAACTGATGAGTTAGTTACAGATGTCTGCCCATTTTCTACACGGTCCCCCATGCCTTGTTCCTAAATGGCCAACTGCAAGAATCTTATGTATTCTTTTTGTGATTTACCTCCAGTTGACTGCCTGCCCAAAGCCATTCTGGTTTCTTTTGGAGTTGAAGAGAGGCTCGGAGATGTGGGTTGCCCTTAGCTAAATGCAGTGTTTCTTGATCTGGCATTGCTGTAAAGATAACTTACTCGTCTCGCCTCACATCCCTTAGCCCAGCTCTTCCCACAGTCACAGGAGCCTTCTATTCTGCTGACGTGCACCAGTCTCGGAACAGACTTATCTTATGTCCTCCTTCTCCACATGACTAAATCTCTCGAAAATGTGCTAGAGTTCAGATAGTGCCCATCTCACAGAACTAATCTCCACGATCACATTTCTCTCTCTAATGCTGGGCCCAAAGTTTTGTCAATGAAAAGTGCCTTAGTAGCTTATTAATCATTTGTGAACCGAGTATCCATTGGGTTCACTCCTAATTCTACCTACTTCTCTCTCTCTCTTTTGTCCGCAACATCTGTCCCCAGATGGGTCCCATCAGCCTTCTGGTCATAGGCATCGTGGCCGTGCACTGCATGGGGATCCTGGTGAAATGTGCTCACCACTTCTGCCGCAGGTGAGAGCCCTCTGCGCCACCTCTCAAGGGACAAATTGTCCTTTTGGGTTCTGTTATCAACCCTGAAAATGAGCACTGATGCAGACCACTCTCAATTTTTTACACTGGCTGGAGGTAGCGGCTTATGATTGCAGCGTTTTCCTTTCCCTGGTTATTTTTGTGTTCTTTTCTGGCTCATTATCATCTGTTAAATTGACTTATGCCCAGTGGGTAGACGCTACACTCTAATTTCATGTGCGTAGTCATGTTTACCCCATTGAAATGATTCTACCAGATGGTTGTTAATTATAATAAAAGTAACCATCCTGTCGACTTAATACTTCTGATCTTTGAAAGCACGAGGTATAGGACTCAGAGTGGTACCTCCAGGGTGACAGGTAGGAACTGACCCAGGTCTCAGTGGCTCTATTGGTTCTATCTAATCCACATGCTCTGCCTTTCCTCTTCCCTCCTCCTCTTCCAGGCTGAATAAATCCTTTGTGGATTATGGTGACACTGTGATGTATGGACTAGAATCCAGCCCCTGCTCTTGGCTCCGGAACCATGCACACTGGGGAAGGTAACTGATTTCCTCCTTCCTTTCAACTGTGGCCTCCCAGTGTGAGGCCTTCAGACGGGGAGGTGCAACATGGGAGACAGTGTAAAGCGTGGAAAGAGTTGCTGTTTGGGTCAGTTGCCTTGGGCTGTGGCTTAGCTCCACTGGTAGTAAGCTGTGACCTGGGGCTGGGTAACTTCTTTTTTCCTTGGGTTTCAGTTTCCTTATCAGGAAAGCATGGGGCCTGGCCTGAATGGTCTCTAGAGCCATTCCAGCTTTGGCAGTCTATGACCAGTGATTGTTTTTGATTCACTCATTTGTTCAACAAATGTATTTAAGCACTATCTTATAAATGGAACAAAACAGTTCTAGGTAAGAAGGGGAGATTTCCTGAAGTAAATTATGTGGTTCCTACCCTCCAGAGGCTTGTAGTCTGTGTAAGGAAAGAGATATCTGGGAAGAGAAGCCAGGGAATAAGATAAGAGACCAGTAGTAGGAGACACTTGTAAGAAGAAAGTGTCATGAGCTAGGAATACATCCTCAGCGCTCAAAGAAGGAGGAACTTTAAAGATTCTCTTGTCGGCTGTGACAGGTGAGAAACGCACATGAGAGCTGGGAGCAGAAAAGGCTTCAGGAGAAGGTGAACTAGAGCAGGGTGTGGAGATGAATTTGGAGGTGGGAAGTATTTACAAATTTCTCCTTGTGGTAACTCTTAGATGTTTGGAGGGAAATATTATTTTTGTTTTCTACATTTAAATGTAGGAAATTGATACTATCAAGGGCTAAAAATTCTTAAAAAAAAAAAAAACAATCCCACATTAGAACTATGTTTTCTAGAAAAGTTCCTTTTTGTGGCCGTAGAGGAAACTTACCTTCATTCATAGTCACCTTTATCCTGTGATGCAGATTATATAGTTCTTTTGGCCAAATTATTTTCTGTAACTGGGAGAAGCTAGATTGCCAAGTGACCACCGTGAGTTGGGTGGTGGTTAATTCTTCCTTCCTTTCTTTCTTACTACTTCCTTTCTTCTTCCCTCCTTCCCTCCTTTCCTTCCTTCTTTATTAAAATGTGTGTTATTTTAACGTGTGCTCATAGTAAAAACTTTGTTTTGATCAAGATAGAATATAAAGTAAAAAGTGAAAGAAAATTTTGGTCACAGTTGCATGGGTAGCCTTTTGGAATTTGCTGTATAAGTAGAAACATCCACATATTCTTAAGTTTTTTGCACAGATTGACCATACTATGTATACTGTTTGGAAACTTGCTCTTTCCCCTTAAATGTCTGAGACGTCTTTCTCTATCAGCACATAGAGATTTAACACAGTCTTTTTAACTGCTGTGTAATGTTCCATTTAAGAACAGTCTATAATTTAATCACTCTCCTTTTGATGATCCTTTAGGTTGTTACCAGCTGCTATTGTTCAACCAGCAATCTGTTTTTGGTACATCAGTTTCTGTGTCCTTAATGTGGGACTTGGTTGGTTCTTGTATCCAAGTTAGAGAGACAGTGAAGGAAACTACTTCTGGTGTTTTATGTCAAAGTCTCCCTGTAACTTTAACAAAAAAGTGTGAGATGGGATAGTTGGGCAGATGTGTAGAGAGGAGGCTAAGGGGCTGGGCAGTGGTCATAGTGTCTGTGCATGTGTCTGACCTCATGCAGCATTCCAGACGAGAAGCCAGGAAGGGGATGTTGGAAACCACACAGACAGCACCTCCCTCACCTTCTTCCCAATGTCCCCGACCGGTGGCACCTAGCTTGGTTTCTTCTCCTGCCAGGGCATGCTCAGCCCTGTCACTGCCAGGAAGGGTCTGTGATAGCTTGGGGAAAAGCACTGTTAAAAAAACACCGGGTACAAGGTACACCATTTGGGTGATGGTTACACTAAATGCCCAGACGCTACCACTATGCAGTATATCCGTTTAACAAAACAGCACTTGTACTCCCTAAATCTGTTAAAAAACAAAAAGAAAAAACACCTCCCCTTCTGGGAGTGTTGCATTTGTATTGTAACAGTCTTTGTATTCCTTCCTTCTCCATCTCCAGACATGTTGTGGACTTCTTCCTGATTGTCACTCAGCTGGGATTCTGCTGTGTCTATTTCGTGTTTCTGGCTGACAACTTTAAACAGGTAGGCACCTGGTTAAAAAAAAGCAAAAACAAAAACAGGAGAGAGGATAGCAAAAGATGATTGAAATTTTTGTTTAGGATTTTTTCCAAGCCAGCTTTTGTCAACAAAAGAGTTAAAGTTTTAACATTTTACATAGAACCACGTCTTCTGTTTGATTCCCAGGGAAAGAGCTCGGGCATAGAGAAACCGCTACATGTCTTGTCCATCCTCCTGTCCTAGGTACATATGATCAAACCTAGCTCAGACAATTGGGTTGTTGATGCTAGTTGTGAAGATCTCTAAAGATGGCTCACTGGCCGCAGATTCTAAAAGGCTTTGTTCACACATGTGAGCCTTTCCTCAGGAACCTGTTCCAGCAGAGGATCCACCGGCCTCTGTTGTTTGAGAGGTGTTTCCGTTTTCTTCCTTCCCCTCATTCTAGGTGATAGAAGCGGCCAATGGGACCACCAATAACTGCCACAACAACGAGACGGTGATTCTGACCCCCACCGTGGACTCGCGACTCTACATGCTGTCCTTCCTGCCCTTCCTGGTGCTGCTGGTTTTCATCAGGAACCTCCGAGCCCTGTCAGTCTTCTCCCTGTTGGCCAACATCACCATGCTGGTCAGCTTGATCATGATCTACCAGTTCATTGTTCAGGTATGTGCCTAGGCCCTCCCCTATCGTCTTAATTCAATATTTTAAAAAGGCCAGGTGCGGTAGCTCACGCCTGTAATCCCAGTACTTTGGGAGGTCGGGGCGGGTGGATCACGTGAGGTCAGGACTTTGAGACCAGCCTGGCTATCGTTGTAAAACCTGTCTCTACTGCTAAAAATACAAAAATTAGGCGTGGTGGCATGATCCTGTAATCTCAGCTGCTTGGGAGGCTGAGGCAGGAGAATTGCTTGAACCTGAGAGGCGGAGGTTGCAGTGAGCCCAGATCACGCCGCTACTGCACTCCAGCCTGGGCAACAGAGCAAGACTCTGTCTCAACAACAACAACAACAACAACAAAAAATATATATATATATGTAAGTAGACTGTAAATAGTTATATGTTACTACTGGTATATCTAGATTAGAGGTTCTTATCTTGTGCCCTGCTGACATTTTGGAATGGATAATTCTTTGCTATGGGGCTGTCCTGTGCACTGTAGGATGTTTAGCAGCATCTCTGGTCTCTACTCAGTAGGTACCAGTAGCAACCCCTCCACAAGTTATGACAACCAAAAATGTCTCCAGATATTACCAAACCTCCCTGGGGGGCAAAATCGCCCCCCACCCCCCAGGAATCACTGGTTTAGACTTTTTTCAATTAGATGGTTAATTCATGATCATTCTATACAACTGGAAAACAGAGGAAACTATTAAGATTAAAATAAAAATTAATTTTTCTAACATGTATTTAGATAAGTAATTCCTTATCAACTCCAGTTAATTTTTATTTGTCAAAATTATAAATTCACTTGTTCCCTGCCCTCACTTAGCCCATGCAGGCAAGTCTGTGGGGTGGCATGAGAGAGAACATCTGTATACAGATGGGTAGAAGATCAGGAGATCAGGCTAAGAAAAATGTGCCCTTAAACACTATGACTGTTCGTGAAAATGACAATGCATTTTCTAAGGCTTGAGTAAAGGAAAAAAAGTAAAAGCAGGTAAATAAAAGGATAACTTAAAAACGATACTTAAATTCAATTCCCCAACTAATTCATCAGTACATATTCATTAAAATGCAGACAACACAAATACCTCTTGAATACCACGTCCCCAGCCTGAATCTCCTCTCCGGGACTCTGTGTGATTGGTCTGTCTCATTCTAGATCCTGTTAATGGATTTACAGTCCATGTAATGTATCGAGAAATACATTAAAATATATTTTGTTTTCGTTTTTGAAACATAATTTTGTAAAGTTACATGTTCATCTACCTTGCTTTTTTCCACCTTAAAAATGCCTTAGCGAGCTTTCCAGGTTAGTATTCCTGGCTCTGCTTTGTTATTGTTAGCTGTCACATTGTATCACAGAGTAGAGATTTGCTGCCATTTATTTAACCAGTCCCCACTCAGTGGCTATCAGGTGATTGATAATTTTTAGTATTATTTCAGTATTAAGACAGTGAGATGTTCTTACGCATTCCTTTTTGTGGACTTGTATAAATACTTCTTTAAGATATTTGTCTAGATGTGTAATTACTGAAGAGTGTGCACTTTTGATTTTTTTTATGTTACCAAGTTGTTTTTTCCAAAAGCTATTTCCTAATTTCATAGAGACTCCCTTCCACAGTATTTACATGCCCGTTTTTCCACCCTTAACTAATACTGGATGTGTTAGTATTATTTATATTATATTAGTATTATTTATATATAGTATATATTATATATTATATTAGTAGTATTTATATATAGTATAATTATATTAGTATTATTTTGGTCAGTCTGACAGGTGAATATTACCTCATTTTCATACAGTCTGCTTAACAGTGACCCAGTCATCCACTGATAGTTTCCAGGAAAACAGTGGCTCATAAAAAGCAGAACTTATTGTGCTAAGCAAATGACATTATCAGTTTAGATTAACATTGTGCTCTGTGAATATTGACTGTTTTTTCATCGTGGTAAGTCAGATGAGTGGCAGATATTGACTGTTCTTCTGCAGAACTATTTTTTTAAACATAAAATAAATAGTTCTTTGCGTCCCTTTTTTATGAGACTGGAAGGAGGGCCTGTGAATGCACGATAGACCATTTCCATTACCAAACAAGGAAGGGTAAATATTTACCCATGATTTCACATTGTAATTAGAGCTCTCAAGAGCACCTTGGATACACTCCAGTGGACGTTAAAGATGAATTGAGTGACACCACTCCCCATAGACAGGTACACCTGCTGCATTTAGTTTTAAATCATTGCAGGTAGTCGGGCTGTGGTGGTTGCCATGATCAGAGGGCTGGGATGAGAATTTGGGTTCTTGTAGCGTCTCAGTCCCAACCAACTGGTAGTATCCATCCAGAGTGATGTCTATTTATAGTACAACAAGGACACAGAGCAATGTCTGCATAAGGGCAGCCCTGCTGATTTCTTTTTTTTTTTTTTTTTTGAGACGGAGTCTTGCTCAGTCGCCCAGGCTGGAGTGCAGTGGCCGGCAAGCTCCGCCTCCCGGGTTTACGCCATTCTCCTGCCTCAGCCTCTGGAGTAGCCGGGACTACAGGCGCCCGCCACCTCGCCCGGCTAGTTTTTTGTATTTTTTAGTAGAGACGGGGTTTCACCGTGTTAGCCAGGATGGTCTCGATCTCCTGACCTCATGATCCGCCCGTCTCGGCCTCCCAAAGTGCTGGGATTACAGGCTTGAGCCACCGCGCCTGGCCAACCCTGCTGATTTCTTGAGAGCAATTCCAAGTCTTCCTCTGGGCTTAGCCAGAAGTTGTGCTGTGATCAAATAGTGCCGTCTACCCGGAGTGCAGCATGGGGGAGGAGATTTGGCTGTGTTTTGATGTAGTCACTGCCCATAGTGTTGTAATTGCTTCATTTTGATGTGTCGTACAGCTAAATATGCTCCCTCTAGGTCATTTTTGTTGCTGCTGCCTCTGCTGCTTGTTACTACTGTTCTGTTTTGGCATTTTGCCTCACTTACCATGAGGATTCCCCTACTGTTCAGTGTTTCTGATTTTTGTTCCTAATCCTAAGCACGTACATGACTGTTCCTTTTGCCCCTCATGCACGTGCCATTGTAGGTAGCAGACCAAGGTCTTCCACCTGAGCAGGTTCCCTTCTGTCTTCGGCATGTGGAGTCTCAAATGGAACAGTTCCAGGCAGAGTGCTTTGCACAGAGGGAGCTCCCAATAAATGTTTTATCACTGCATATCGTTGCTTCTGAGATGTATTTTTTCATAGTTATAACAGTTTCAGAATTACAAGAGTACATCTCACAATCCATGTGTACATTTAACAGCATTTTCTCAAAATACTGTTATTATTATAATTGATAATATGGTAAGACCTCACATAACATCATTGATACGTTCTTAGAAACTGCAATCCATGAAATGTATATATAGCGAAATCAGTTTTTTTCCTCATCAATGTTGTAACAAAACAGCATTGAAGGAAGTGACTACATCGTTTCACTTAAAGTCTCAGTTTCCAAGAACCTATTGATGACGAGTGAGGAGTTACTGTGTTGTAGAATTAAGGAGCTATGTTGATAACAAGCTGATTTTAACATGTATATTTCTTTATAAATTAAACTTTTCTCATTTAGTTGGCTGGGTAAGTAGCAATCAGTAAGTGTGTAGAATAATACACTCCTTCTGCTGGCATCATTCCCACAATATCCCCAGACATGGATTGTGAAATTCCCGGTCTGATACTTGAATCTGATCTGATGTATGAACAAGAGCAGGAGTCATTCACTAACCAACAGATAGTACCTATTTCCAATAACTTATGTCACATATATAACTCAGGAATAACTATAGGGCACTCTTGCTCTCAAGTCCCATTGTAGATGAAAAATACCTATTAGTCTGTCTTCATTCCACGTATTGAAATGCTTCTTACGAAGAGACCTAACAGATTTCTTAGCTGGGGCCCAAGGAAATGTATTTATTTAATTTTTTTTTATTTTTTCAAAAGCAGTATCGCTGCTTTGAAATCTTTCAAAGAGAAGGCTGTTACAGAGATTAATAATGGATCTCCTTTTACTCACCTGAAATTATTCTGAAGCCTGTTAAGAGCATGCCCCGTATTATCCAAATATCCATATAGTTAAATCAATTTTAAAACATTGTAAAAGGCTGTTTGAACATCAATTTTCATTTTAATTGAAGCAATGTATGCATGAGGTTTAGAAAGCCAAATTTTAAAAAGAGAGCAGTTTGAATCCCCCCTCGCTACCCTGCCCCTTCCACACAGTCTGTTACTGGAGATTTGTTTGGTGGAGGATTTTGCAGCTATACCTCTGTATTAGTCAGGGTTCTCTAGAGGGACAGAACTAATAGGACAGATGTACATATACAGGGGAGTTTATTAAGGAATATTAACTCACGCGATCACAAGGTTCCACAACAGGCCGTCTGCAGGCTGAGGAGCAAGGAAGCCAGTCCGAGTCCCAAAGCTGAAGAACTCGGAGTCTGATGTTCAAGGACAGGAAGTATCCAGCACGGGAGAAAGATGTAGGCTGGGAGGCTAAGCCAGTCTAGCCTTTTCATGTTCTTCTGTCTGCTTTTTAATCTGGCCACTGATTGAGCTGGCAACTGATTAGATGGTACCCACCCAGATTGAGGGTAAGTCTGCCTTTCCCAGTCCACGGTTAATGTTAGTCCCAGTCCCAGTCAAATGTTAGTCTCCTTTGGCAACACCCTCACTAACACACCAAGGAACAATACTTTGCCTCCTTCAATCCATTCAAATTGACACTCAATATTAACCACCACAACCTCCTTCCTTATACAATCTTAACATTGTACCTGCAGTTAACAGTTGCCCCCTTTTTTTGGCCTATTTTTGAAAACATTCTTTTTGCTCTTTCTCCCCACATGTTCCAACACTCCTATTGTGTGCTTCTTGGTAATACTTTCAAAGTGCTCAAACTCATTGATAAGAATTTTAAAAAGGAGAACAAAAGAAGAGGAAAAAGGAAGAGAACCAATCTGAAAATTTACCACTTTCTCTTCCCTTCCAGCTTTATCTTTGGTGTTTATGTAGTTGTATCAGAGTGAATATATAAATTAAAATTAAATTTTTTTCTCCCTAATATTTCATAAGTAGATTTTCATGTTCTACTTAGTTGTCTCAATTTTTACTTTTTAGTAGTGCATACTGGCCAGGCGCAGTGGCCAATGCCTGTAATCCCAGCACCTTGGGAGGTTGAGGCAGGCAGATCACTTGAGGTCAAGAGTTCACAAACAGCCTGGCCAGCATGGTGAAACCCTGTCTTTACCAAAAATATACAAAAATTAGCCAAGTGTAGTGGTGCACACTTGTAGTCCTAGCCACTTGGGAGGCTGAGGCACGAAGAATTGCTTGAACCCAGGAGGCAGAGGAGGTTGCAGTGAGCCGAGATCTCACCACTGCACTCCTGCCTGGGCAACAGAAGGAAACTCTGTCTCCAAATAAATAAACAGTGTATATATTCTGTGGTTTAGCTGGTATGTTGTTAATTACTTAACTGATCCCTTGTTTGGGATCTCTACTAAATATACAATATATGCTTGTTTGGGAGCATTCATGTTGTTTTCAGTTACTTTATTAAACAGTTTTGCTCAGTGTTTTTCATCTTTTGATTTTTTTTCTACTTGAATTCACTTTCTTGGGATGGGATTACCTCGTGAAAGAATGTGACTCTTTTTATGCAAGCCCCAACATTTGAGTTTTTAATAATATGTTGGGCTTGTCTTTCCCCCAAACAAGTGGGTTTTTCTTAGCCTGAAGAGAAAAACATACAAAGGTTAAATGTCCCTAAACATCTGTCAGGTATTAGACTTTCTTCCTTTAGAGAATCTCGGATTTGTTGAAAGGTATGACCTCTCTGATTCAGAGTTCAAATCTTGAATTTCTGTATAGCCTTTTGCTTTATTTTGCTTTCTCTCTTTCAGAGGATCCCAGACCCCAGCCACCTCCCCTTGGTGGCTCCCTGGAAGACCTACCCTCTCTTCTTTGGCACAGCGATTTTTGCATTCGAAGGCATTGGAATGGTAAGAGCTGCACTGTGACTTGGGCTAGTGTTCTCTAGTGCCCTTGGTGTCCTGCAGGTCTGTTTCAAAGAATGCTGAGGAAACATTGTTAGAAATTATCTTCTGAGGCCAGGCACAGTGGCTCACACCTGTAATCTCAGCACTTTGGGAGGCCGAAGCCTGTGGATGACTTGAGGTCGGGAGTTCGAAACCAGCCTGGCCAACATGGTGAAACTCTGTCTCTACTAAATATACAAAAATCAGCTGGGCATGGTGGTACACGCCTATAATCACAGCCACTCGAGAGGCTGAGGCAGGAGAATCGCTTGAACCAGGGAGGCGGAGGTTGCAGTGAGCCAAGATCGTGCCACTGCACTCCAGCCTGGGTGACAGAGTGAGACTCTGTCTCAAAAAAAAGAAATTATCTTCTGTGACTCACTGGTCAGTTAGTGAATAGTGTTTTGGGGATTCCATTGAGATTTCCCAGCTTCAACTTTTTAAGACAAATTATATGTAATTTTAAAATGTTTACATTCAAGGCCCCGTCATTGCACACTCATCTCCTATGTGTGCAGTAAGCAATAGTATATGGCAATCAGGAAGGCAAGGTCTAGAGTCAGACTGACTTGGGGGTAAGTCCTGGCTCTGCCATAGAGTAGCTGTGTGACCTTGAGCAAGGGCTTCACCTCTTTGAGCCTTCATTGTTTATTCCTGAAAAGTGAACTTAATGATTCATAGTTATTAGGATTAAATGAGATATGTGCAAAGTGCTTTGCACAGACCCTGACGCATGGTAAATGTTTAATAGATTTTAATTTTATTAATATTATTTTATTATTGAATCAATAAATGTGTGAATAATTTCTCTGCCCTACAACATTGGTTTGGTGTATTTTCTGCATGCAAAAAAGCAGCCTTCACTCCTGGCTCAGCATGCTGTGATTTCACCGAATGCTTTTCCTAAAGAGGAATCTACCCCTCAATTTTACCTAATTTGAATTTTATTTGTATTTTTCATTATAATGGTACAAAACTCTTCTCTGAAGAAAGTTATTCCTGGCCAAGGGCTCCACAAATGGGAAGAGCCTCTTCCTGGCACGGCACTTCTTCCTCTTTTTCGATTTCCCAGACAGACACCTTATTTGCTTTTAAGAAAACCTAGAAGCTGTACACATTTTTTGTCAGAATCGTGAGAAATCACCCAAGTGGTGCTGATGGAACACGTTGAGGCCCTGACCTCATGGGGGAGGCTTTGGGAGTGATCACATGTAAATCACTGATCTCCTTGAGGTTTTATACCTTGCCCTGTGCTTTTTCTTGGGGCTTTTCATTGCCCATGAAGAGGATCTCACTTCAATTTAGAAACACAAATGGTTTCTTGCTGCCGGGGCAGAAGCCTGAGCAGGCCCATATTTCAGCAGTGAGAAAGAGATCCCAAGAACTCAGGACTGGAAAAAGGAGGCTGAGAAAGTGTGGAAAGATGCCCAGAGACCTTGGGTTCCTGGGCATCCTAAGGGACCTCGTGCTAAATTTTTAGTAGCTTTCCCTAACAGCACAGTGCAGAAATTGTTTGCTTGGTTTAATCACCACTTGTACACAAAGTTATTCTGCAAACATTATTTGTCTTCAAGATTTCTTTGTATTTCTACTTTTTTACAATAGAGAGAGAACACTGCTAGATTGACTCTTGGTTTTGGATCTAGAGCTTGTTCATTGCCTCAGGGTAAAGTGCCAGGCTGCACACTGTGTATTCATCGTGTGCTCTGTGTTCATGCAGCTGTCACAGGCCAGATAGGACATGGAGGAGATGGGCTCCCTGCCCTCTGGCTCTTTGTATTCTTGGTATGAAGAAAACTGACAGATACATTTAGAAGCTGTTTCTAATGGATGTGGATTAACTGAAGCTGGAGCACATGGTAGGGGACACTGGGAGCCCCTGGGAACACCAGGCCTGCAGCAGAATCGTGTTGGTGTGTGCAGCACAAACCCATTGTGCCTCATGGCCACAGGCGCTACAGGAAAATAAGTGTAATAACAAGATCAAAGTTTGTGGCACAGCTAGACCTTGCCCAGTGTTGCTCTTCCGTATTAGCCATGCCAGATCCAGTTGATGGCAGACCGTGAAGATCCTCACAGTCACACCATTTTCCCAATTCCTAAATAAACTCATTTTCATAGGGGCCTTTCCTTTACCTTTACCAAAGTTAAAGAATGTCCTCTGTTATGACGAAGGAGGCAGCAAAGGTCAGTGGTTTGTAATAGGAGTCTGGAAACTGGGCATTGTTAAGTACCCGTGTCTCGAGATCCCCTATGAAGTCATGCTGTCTTTCGCACCGCAGCTTCTCTCACTTGGAGGTTTAACTTGTCGCTGCTCGTGCTTGACCCTGTTGAGCTAGAGTGGCAGTTTTCCCTGACCTATATTTTGCATTCTTTAGACAGGTAGCAGGAAGCTGTGATCTCAGGTTAGATGCCAGGTGGGAATGGATGTGGGGAAGGCTTTTGTTCTCGCATGTGGCCTCATCCAGGGGCAAAGGACATTCCCGCCTGACGATCTGAGCAGGAGAACAGGCACTGTCTGAGATGGAGTCTGGGTCGTTTCTGCCCACCCTTACTTTAGGACTTCCGCTAGGCACGTGGGCTGCGGCAGTCCCTTTAGGTCCCAAGGCAATAAACGCTCTGAAAATATTTATTATTTATTTTTTTTTGGAGAACAGAGTTATGCTGTGTTTTCCAGGGGCTGAGCTGCAGTGTGTGATCTCGGCTCACTGGCAAGCTCCGGGCTCTGGGTTCACGCCATTTCCACTCAAGCTTCCCGATAGCTGAGGGTGATAAGGTTGCCCAACAGCGCGCAGGTAGTTTTTTGTTATTTTTAGTAGAGACGGGGTTTACCCTGCTTAGCCAGATAAGTCTCGATCTCCCTTTTGACTCCGTGATCCACTCGCCTCTGCCTTCCCAAGTGTTGGATTACAGGTTGAGGCCACCCCGGCCGAAAATAACTTTAAAGGAGGAGATGTGCCTTCTGGAGACATTCTGGAGATAAAAGAGTTACCTTTTTTTCTGCAGGGATTTTTTTTTGGCATTACTTTGCTTTTTGTTGCACCTCTCTCTCTCATCACTCCTTCTTCATAGGTTCCTCACCCCGGGAAACAAATTGAAGGATCCTCGGGAGTTTCCCATCATCTATACCTGGGCATGGTCTCATCCTGTCACATCCTCTCACATCAGGTCTGGGGCTGTCTAGGTCGGTACCTGCAATTTTGGGCTATTTCAAAAGGCGGATAACCTCGAAACTGCCCAACTGCTGGTGTAGGGGAGGATTAGAACTAGATCCACTGGATATTTTAAACATTAATGGATCAGAAGTGTGTTTTTCATCTTATCTCTTAACAGGCCACTTCACTCTAACCACATTCCTGCCACTGCAGCCTCACTGGGTGCCTGATGATTCTGCTTTGCGGTTATTCATGTAGAGCTTTCTGCTGAGCAGTGGGTGCTGATTCAGCGATGGTAAAGCATTTTCTTTGGGATTCTAAGTCAAAGGGACGAGTATTAGGCCTTCTGTAAACCATCAAATGGACATGGAGGATGGGATGGGCAAACTTGATTGGTTCCAGCTAGTTGTTGCCTCTCCGCCTTGGTTAGTCAAGGCTTGGATATGGCAGGTGAGGCATTCTGTGGTTGGCGACGACTTGTTCGGGAGGTTCCTTTGTAACTCTCTGCTGGTGAAGTGGATTACTAGGGAAATGAGTGAGCAATTGAAATGCTTCTGGAAAAGGTTAGGATGATGGTCCCAGGGATTGCCTTGAGACATCCTGTTTTGAAGATTAATCATCTCATGGTGGAGAGCAGCTGTTAGCAGACACTGAGAAGCTTGTTGAGTGCCCTGCGGATCAGAATCACCTTTCAGTCTAGGCTGGCTGATCTGCCTGGGTGTGCTTTTTATTTTGTTTTGTTTTGTTTTATTGTATTGTATTTTTTAAGTCAGCAGCACTCAGTATTTCCAGGGGCTTTCCCATTCAAGTACGAACCAGGCTTGACCCTGCTTAGCTTCCAAGATCAGATGAGATTGAGCACATTCAGAATGGTATGGCTATAGACCTGGATTCGCTGTTTATTTTTTAAAATTCTTTTTCAGTTGATTTTAACTCGTGAGGCATACTAATTATATATCTGTATGCAGTATGTGTGACATTTGGATACATATATACAATGTGTAATTATCAGATCAGGGTAATTGGCATATCCATCTGGTGCCTACTTTCAAATTTCCAAACGTTTCTGCCCTTCCAAGAAGGAAGAGGCAGGTAGTAGCTTGGTGTAACTGTGTCACCTTTCCCTGGAAGATAAATGGATCAGGAGCAACAGAAGCAGCCCACGTGATCTGAAGCCGTAGAGGAGCATCTGTCTTCTTTCCTAACACCCCAAACCCAGCTGCTGTCACTTTTCTGCCTCTATTTGGGTGTAATTTATTTGGCTATCCCTGCAGGTGTCACTCTCCTGAGTCCAGACTTCATAGCTCTCCAGAGGCTTTCGGGCTGCTTTGAGTTTAATGATAGAGCCCCCAGATTGTTCCAAAGAGTTTTCATTATCTATTCATGGAGCAAATATGACCTTTTACCAAACTCAGTCTTTACAAGGTTGTTCTCCTGCTTATAGCATAAGAACATCTTCTAGATTTTAAGTTCAGCCACAGAGAAACTCAATGCGCATATACACAGTCTGTATTAGCACATTTAAATAGATTTCCCACAAGGGAGGACAAATGTTTCTTGCTGCCTAACACATGAGGGTCTGGTTTAAAGTGGAGCTTTGCTTAGGGATGGAGACCTTTCCTTTTAATGACCAAGTCAGATCTATAAGCTGATCACAGACTTTTTTCCTACTCTGCAGTCAAGGCACTGGAGTGATAAAATAGGGATATCCCGTGGTGAGTCACGTCTTTTTTGGAAGCTACACCTGAATCAGTAGTAGGAAGAGGGCCATAGTGGTATGGAAAGACGGAATTCTGCTCCGGCCTCTTGGTCCTGCAGTGTCTTCATCTAATTCTAGGGACACTTGACTCGGATGGGACAGATATAAATAGGCTTGTAACATTTTAATTGCATTTTTGTTATTTTTGAAGGCACATACACCCATATACCCATGGCAAAGATTCAGATTTTCAAAAGGTACACAGAGAGCATTTAGTTTCCACCCCTCACCCTCCACTCTAATTCCCAGTTTTACAATTTCCCATTTCAGAGGCAACCATATTCCCAGTTTCTTTCTTTTTTTTTGAGATGCTTAATGTATGTAAGATTGTCATGTGGGGCGAGGGTATTTTTTTCTCCTCTTTTTTCTTTTTTAAGACAAATTGTAGCACTCTATAGATACTGTATTGCTTCATGCTTTCTTCACTTAAAAAAAGTGATATAAAAGTGTCCCCATGATAGTGATATACTGTATCACATGATACAGTGATATATCGTGGGCATAGTTTCATATCACACCTGGAGTTCTGCCTCATACTTTGTTAAAGCTATATGGGGGCACCACGATTTGTCTAACCAGTTCCCACTGGTTAACATTTAAATTGTTTTCAGTCTTTCCTTCTTAAATGGTGCTGCAGTGAGATATTGTGAATATAAGCTTTTGTGTACATGTGCGAGGATATCTGTGAGCTAAATTTTTAGACATGAAATTGCTGGGTCCGAAGGTCGTGTGGGTTTGTAGCCTTGATAAGTGTCAATAAATCGCAATGGGACCATTTTGCACTCTTGCTGATGATGTGTAAGTGTGCTGAGCAGGCTTGGCACATCTCCTGTCTCTCTCGGCAGGTTGTACCAGTCAGTTAAGCTGCTGTACTCCATCGGGATCTTTTTCACCTACGCGCTCCAGTTCTACGTCCCGGCTGAGATCATCATCCCCTTCTTTGTGTCCCGAGCACCCGAGCACTGTGAGTTAGTGGTGGACCTGTTTGTGCGCACAGTGCTGGTCTGCCTGACATGTGAGTAGAAGACGATAATTGCCTTGCTTGTTTTTCCCTAAAGGGCACCCAGTCTCCAGGGCGTGCATGAGAAAAGACAGTATGTGTCTTTTGACATATACTGCCTATGTTTATGAGCAGAGAACCTGGCCCATGGCCTCGCTTTCAGAGTTGAGGCATCTCCAGATGGGGAAGTGAGTTAATTACATATGTACTCTAAAGAACATGGGAATGAGGACAGTGGTTTATTTATAGATAGGGTATGAAATGCTGTGGAGATGGTTTTTATTTATAGATAGGGTATGAAATGCTGTGGAGATGGTTATCCTTCAGAGTAAAGACATACAACTACTATCCCATATTAAGTAAGGTAAGGGTCTGAAAGCCATTTAACCCGTATCTGTAATGAGTATAAGTTACTTTGATGAAGGGTACTTATTTGTTTTTTTGAATTGTTGTTTTTCCAGTGTGACAAGTTACTCCTTAGATTTCCTTTAGAGCCTGTAGGATAGTATTCTATACATTTTTAAATGTCGGTCTTACTAAATATGTTTCAGAAAATTTCTAGTGATTAACCTAGGTATTTGATTGATCACTTGTGTTTTCTTCTTCTCTCAGTCCCGTTCCAAGGAGTGTAAGTTAAAAGACAGGCTATCCTTCTGTTTGCTGTGGTTGAAAACTGGTGACATTTAGAAAATAAAAGTAAAAAAAAATTTTTTTGTAGCTTTTGTGAGTTGGTAGACAAGAGAACCCCGGAGCAAATTGGTCTATAATAGTGAATTTAAGTTTCTAAGAGATTTGCAATTGTTTTCCAAATTGAAATGCTTAAAGCACAGATTCCTCTTTTTGGCTCTATTTGTTTTTTGTTTTGTTTTGTTTTGTTTTTTGTTTTTTGTTTTTTTTTTTACAAGAACCTCTTTGCTTATTATATTGAGACTTCCCCGAGAATTTTCTTAAATTATTCAGTCTGAGCCTCTGTCTTTGGAATAAATATAGATCCATATGATTTTTAAAATTCTAATTAGGGTTGACTGTTTTAAGGATGAAAGATGGGAATGTTGTCTAGCATTTGCTCTTAGTCATTCTTTCAGGCCCTCTCCTAGACCAGCCTATAGAAACAGCCCACACAGTTGCTAATCCAGGGCCCAGGGCTGTTGAAAGCCGGCTGCTCTTCCCACAGTGACTGAAAAAGAAGGAACATGATGTATCCTGCTTTTCTAGTAGATTGCCTTAATGTGTACTGCTAAGATGGGATGTTTGGATTCCAGATTTTAATCCTGTCTTGTGCCAGTAACTCTCCATGCTTTGATTCTAAGGTGTATATTTCCGCCGTGGATGGAGTAGCTCTAAGTGCTGAGGAGACAGCTTTCACATGTACCGTATTTATCATGTAAACTCTCAGGGCCCAATTCTTCAATCTGAAGGGCACTGGAAGAAAGCATGTGGTTAGTTCAAATAATTTGCTTTTCTCCAAAGTGTTCCCTCCAGAAAAAGTAGGTCTCTCTAGGTAAAACGTGCCTTCCTCACTAAACAGCTTCTCCTCCCTGCCTATTGAGCTGGGGCAGTGACAGGAGCCTGGCTCCTCTCCCTGCCCAATTTTCCCCTGCAGCCTGACTCAGCCTCCCTGTAGCATATGCCACACTTCCTGCCAGGTTTATTTCTGCAGCACCCCACAGGAGACAGTAGTCTCTGATTCACAGACCTCATGTTATCCTTAGATGCCTCTTGGATTTTGCTTCACTTTTCCTGGCCCTGTCTGTGAGTCTCGTCTCCCTTCAACAGCACGATGCTCAGAAGACACGGCTGCTTTTGGTCTTCTAGTGTGTGCCGTTGTTTTTCCCTTCTGTGATCTGCTGTGACTTAGCATTGCATGTCATCCTGTTCAAAAAGGCAGCCCCCTTTATCTCTGAGAGCACTCGCCTCTCTCACCTTCCTTGGAGACTTTGAAGTAATTGTGGGACTCAGTAGAGGCCTTTCATGGTAGCAGCAACTTAAATGTATTCATGCAAGTTCATTTTGTTCTTGCTTTTCTGTTCTTTCAGATCTTTCAGCACCATTGATTAGTATGTGATTTTAGATCTTTAATTGATGTTTTTCATTTATACTCATACATTTTAACAGCAGCTTCTTTTTTTTTGCTATTTCTGGTGTTTTCCTATCTTTTCCACAACTTTTCCTTCTCCTCTTCACCCTCCAAGGGGAACAGGAGGAATTTGGTGTAGTTTCATTTTTTTTTGTCTTCTTGGAATTCAACTTTCTTCCCACTCTCTCCCATCCTCCAAAGATTACTATGGCTGATACAGACTTTGTGATGCTTAGTTTCAAACTGTTGGAGAAGAGGGGGAGGGAAAACAAGTATTTCATAGAATAATGCTCATTATGTTATGATTTCATATTGGACAGTATCTACTTCCAGCCCATATTTTTGGAAATGCAGACTTAGCAGGTCACCTTATGTCCAGACCTTGTGTGGAGGAGGTTGAGACTCCACCTGGTTGAGTCTGGAGTTGTAGGATCAATGGTTTTTTAGATTTCTTTGGAGCAATAACCCATCCATCCTTCAGTGATTCATACTGATTCTCTGTGGCATTTGCCATGTGACACATTTTACTTCAGTTTGCTATGAAAATTTCAGAAACCTATTTCTGAAGATATAATTACATAAAATCGCATCATTCAAGAAGCCTGTTCAGACTGGAATGCAGAGCTGCAAAACATTCCAGGCAGTCAGATTTTTAGAGGATGAAGCTTCAGGGTCCAAACAGAGTAGCTTCTTAGTACCTTTGGGCCTTTCACACTTTTTAGTCTTGCAGCTACAGTGAAGAAGAGCAGTATCATTCATTAGCTGTGTAACCCTGGCCCCCTCCAGGAACCCTCACAAGGCCTCAGGGTCCTCAGCTGTAAGACAGGACAGGTGTCTGATCTTCAAGGTTTCTCTGAACTCCAAAATTCTGTGATTCTGTATAGATGCTTGGCGCTTGATTTTAAGTTTCTACACAAATATTACTCTAAAAAAAGAAAGTCAATGTAAAAACATTTGGGAATAAAAGAAGAAGAAATTCCAATATTCCACCAATTTAACAAAGTAATGTATTTTTTGCATTGTATCTTCTGTGTCTTAATCCTCATGCGTTCATTGTAAAAATAGTTGCCATTGTAGTTTACACATAACTTTGTCTTCCACATTTTGTTTAATTTTATATCACAAATATTCGTAGCTTTCAGTAATATTTTCATGACCTCATGGTATTTCACTGTATTGGTGGATCATATTAACTAAGGTACTCCTTTAATGTTAGACATGGAGGTTGTTTCCCTTGCTTTCATATTTTTTAAATTTATACCCCCACTAAGTCAAATTTTGTATTCTGTCCAAGATTATTGTGAATTTTAAAGGCATATTTATAGACATTTAAAAGTAACATGGTAGGTTTTAAGAACTTTGATCGTAATAAAATAGCAGCAAGAGCTCCCAGCACAAGAGCTGTAAATGGCCAGCATATTTCCTAAGTGTGTGTTTGTTCTTTTCAGTGCTTTGCTCTTGTCTTATACATAAGTCAGCTCTTTCTGATGCTGGTTCAAAACCACAGGCTCCAGAATCCAGTTCCTTCTGTGAAAATGACTGTTGGCCTTACGTTGCTTCAGCAGTTTAAAAGATCATATTCTTCGTGTCTCTTCACCCGAAGGGAAGACGTTTTGTAATACTGTTGGAGCCCTCTTGACTAATCGTGTGGCTGAGCTGAGGTTGACCTCTGTCCCCCCTTTGGTACATGCCACAGCTGAGCTGCTGCCGAGAAGCGTATAACTGAGTTTGTTATACAAATGTCTTCCTCTTTGTCTGGGCTGGGGTCTTTTCGTGTGGGGAGGTGCAGGGATTAGGGGAGAGTTGGGAGAGGGGTATTCCTGGCTGGCTGCTTCCTGAGATCTCTACCTTGTTGAGTTTCTCTTTGTAGGCACTTTAACTCACAGAACACATTTAGTGCCAGAAGGGGTTTTATTTGCCCCACATGTCTGAGTAGTCAATTGCTGCTTCTGGAGTTAAAGTCATTTTCCATGGTGGCAAAACAGATACCCGTGCTGTTGAACCCTGGGAGCTGCTGATACAGATTTGGTTTGGACATCCTTCTCTTCTTCCCACTTCATGTTAGTGGGAGGCTTGCTCTTGTCCTCTGCGGTGTCACGCTTTGTGTAGGGTTCAGTGGTGGTATGTGGTTCAGCTAGGACAGGAAGAGGGACTTCCCTTTGCAGCCCTGTGATCCTGGCTTTAAGAGGAGAGAAATGTTCTTAAAATCTCTACTAAGGATATTTTTATTAGGCATATTTATCTTATATAGTGGTGAAAACAAGAACAAGTTTTTAGATTACTTATAAAATATGACGAAGCAGAAGATCTTTGTCCAATCAGAGGAAAAATTCTGATCCCAAGCTTGTGTATCTGTTTCCACTTAACTCTCGCCACAGAGTGGAGCATCTCTCTGACTCCACTTAACTGTCATGAAGTGCCCATATGTCCTGCTAGGTCAGTATGGGAGACGGTGGGGAGATGACAGACTCTCAGGGCTGGGAGAGGCTCTGATTTGTCTCCTGCCAGGGACTCATTTTCTCTGATAATAAAGGCCTCCTGTCTCTTGAGCGGACTTCAGCATTTGTGGAGATGCTCGTGTGGCTGGGACTGAAGAAAAACTCACACTTCCTTTATTCATACGAAACCAAGTGGCTTAGAAGCTCCCTTTTGGGCAAGCCATGTGTTCCGGGAAAGGAGCCCCATCACTTCGCTGCGCCACCTTCAGGCAGGATGTGGTGCTTCCCAGGTGTCAGTGAGGTGAGGAACATATCCCAGAACACAGTCCTAAGTGACTAACACTGGAATGTATAGTCCTTAGAATTTCAGAGTTGGGCGAGACTTCAGACATCACCCAGTTACCATATTTCACAGGTAAATGAATGAACTGAGGCTCAGAATAGTAAGCTGATTTGCCCTGTGCCACTCAGCTTGTTATGGAGCAGGGACTAGTGATAATATTGAAGTATTTATTATTGGTTTTTAGAGCTCTGATTTCTTTACATGAGTGATATCATTTGACCATCCTGTTTAGTAGTTGGGGAAATGAGTCTCAAAGAGTTTAGGTAACTAGCCACTGAGTGGTAAAGCTGAGGTTGGAGCCTGGGCATTCCAAATCCAGAGCCTACCACCCATTCCTATACCACCCTCTCCCTGGGGCTCAGTTCTCCCAACTGTTTCCTCCGTGCAGTTTCCACCCCACAGTAACACCTGGCGCCATCACTGCGAGGGTGACATTAGGCAGGGAGACCCAGACCCCACAGAGAGTAAGTGTCTTGGTGTTGGTACCACAGTAGACCAGCTCTTTTGTTGAGCGTTAGATGACCTATGATGAGAATGCTGTTTTGTCATCAGCCTACAATTTTACCTCTAATTTTCTCCATATTCAACCCTCAAGGTTTGGGAGATGTCACCAACTCTATTTCGAAGCAGCGAAGGGCTGAAAACATACTATTTTTGAGTTGGGAAATTAAAAGCCTAAACTTTTTGCACACTTCTCAAAGCCTTGAGATCAGTGAAGATGTTAATGAGAATTGCCGTTATGGTTGATTAATAGAAGAAGGAAAGATGAAGAACTGCTCCAGAGTATATAACACTGTGGCAGAGGTGGATCTGAGACTCAATATCCTTGTGCCCCTTTGCTTTCAGGCTTTGAATCCTTTGTCCAATTCCACTTGACAAAGCAGAAAGAGGTCAGGGCTGATCGTGTGCTGGATTCTCCACCACGCCCGTGGTGCGTCCCTGGGAAAGCTAGCCTGGGTATCTGCCTCCCATTTCCTCACAGACAGGATCCTGCCACTGATCCGCCAGACTCCCTGTCTCCCCTCCCTCTGCATTTCCTTGCCTATCAGGTCTGTGAGGTTATGGCCCAGGGGCTTGAGGTCCTGGATCCTGGTCCCAGCTCTGTTGCTTCCTGTCGTTTACACCCTCTGGGCCTCTCTTTCCATAGGACTGTAGTAATTTTGTGGAGTTACATACCTGTGAAACAGAGGCAGATTCACCTTCACTAGTGAGTGCTTAGCAGTGCTGTCTGCTGGGTGCCACTAGACATTCTGCAGTGATGGAAATGTCCTGTGTGTGTGCTGTCCATTGCAGCAGCCACTAGGCACCAGTGGTAGTTGAGACTTTGAAATGTGGCTGGTGTGAATGAAGAACAGGATTCATTTCATTTTAATTCATTTCAATGTAAATAGCTATCCGTGGCTAGTGGCTACTGTGTTGGACAGCACAGCTCCAGGGTAGGTGTGAGGCAGGAGGCATGAATCCACTCTTTCCCTGGTGTGTGTGTCCATTTGCATTATTATAAAGAAGCACCTGAGACTGGGTAATTTATACAGAAAAGAGGTTTATTTTGGCTCATGGCTCTGCAGGCTGTATAGGAAGTGTGATGCCAGCATCTGCTTCTGGTGAGGGCCTCAGGAAGCTTCTACTCATGGCAGAAGGCAAAGCGGGAGCAGGTCTCACATGGCAAGATAGGGAGCAAGGATAAGGGAGATACCGGGCTGTTTTAAACAACAGCTGTCTTGGGGAGGGCACCAAGTCATTCATGAGGGATTTGCCCCCAGACTCTTCCCACCAGGCCCCACCTCTGACATTGGGGGTCATATTTCTACATGAAATTTGGAGGGGACAAATATCCAAACCATATTACCTAGTAAGTCCTGGTTCCCACATGCCTCTCATCTTACTGCAGGGAGTGCTATTGTATTTTGTTTGTTTTTGTGGCTCCTCAAAAATCAACTTCAGACATTTCAGTTTAAAGTGTTTCTTACAAAATCTGGTCTTGAAATGCAATCCAATCCTTTCTTCTGGTGCTCATCCAAGGAAGCAGTGATCGATGTAGACATTGGCTGCCTTGGACTCAGACGTCCTGGCAATCTCACCAGGGTGATGCCTTCTTAGAGTGACTTGACTACATTTTTGCCTTACAAAATGAACTTAGAAGCAAACCTCTCATACAAAAGGTAACCTCTCGTAGGAATCAGTGAGGTAGTAGATAAGCTCTGGATGTCTGTATCAAGGCTGGGAGCATCCAGCTGTAGCCCAGCAGTGGGAGAGACAATCTGTGAAACTCCGTTTGATTACTGACAGGTTAGTAACTAACAGGAAGTCATGCTGTAGCAGGATGCACTTTTCATGGCCAAAAAGATGAATACTAATGACGATAACATTAACATGTAAGACCTCCCTACTGTACACCAGGCCTTTTGTGAAGCACCTGCATAACCTCATTTGACCATCATGACATCTCTATGATATAGGAGCAGTTAATATCCCCATTTTGCCAACAAGAAAACTGGGGAATAGAAAGGTACCGTACCTTCCCCAGTGTCATTCAGCTAATTAGCAGCAGAGCCAAGATCTGAACACAAGAACCTAGTTCCAGAGCCCACAACCCTCAATAAACCTGTGAAACACTGGCCTTTGCCTGCCTGGTGGAAAGATCGGTGAGATGGGAAGCATGGGGTCAGTGGGCACTAGGATACTTGTATTTGGTGAAGCCTCCTGCTTACAGCACTGTCTGGCGGTGTTGGCAATGGTTGGTATGGCACGGAAGCTGATGGCACCTCCTGCGGCAGTGCACCATTGGTCTCCGTCAGTTCCTCCTTCCTCGCTCACCCGTGACTGAGTTTCAGATGTGAGAGGCAGTGGGTGTCCTGACACAGAGATATGGTCATTGTGTGGGGCTTTTCCAGGGGTCAGCCTGCAGATAGAACTGCTTTTTTTCACCTGTATGAAAATGCTCTGTGAAATGCGGTTTTATCACGGTGTCTTTCCAGAAAGAGGGGTTTCTTTTCCTATTTGGTTTCTTGTCAGTCAAGTAGAAATGTTTGTGTTGGAGTCTCCCTGAGTGGTAAGAAAATGAGCAGCTGCTCAGAAATGTCCACCTCCTTTTCTGCCCCCTACCCTCCCTCCTTTGGTAGAAACCAGATTGCCCTGAAACGTAATTTGGTTCCTTTTGTGCAGAAAGATGGAAGTCATGCGCTGTAGCAGGAAAAGCTGAAAGCCCAGGGACTGGAGCCAGAAGATCCAGGTTCCAGTCCCAGTTCTGCTGACCTTGCAGGGGGACGCCAGTTATTCCACGTTTCTGGGCATCTGTTTCACAGAGACTGAACTGGATAATGTCTGCGTTTTCTTAGAGCTCTCAATCCTAGAAGACGGACAGATGCTGAATTTGCTCAACAGTAGGGAGACAGACCTCTCCCAGCTCTGGGCATCTTAAACAGGCATGTCCTCTCTTTCTGCAGGCATCTTGGCCATCCTCATCCCCCGCCTGGACCTGGTCATCTCCCTGGTGGGCTCCGTGAGCAGCAGCGCCCTGGCCCTCATCATCCCACCGCTCCTGGAGGTCACCACCTTCTACTCAGAGGGCATGAGCCCCCTCACCATCTTCAAGGACGCCCTGATCAGCGTCCTGGGCTTCGTGGGCTTTGTGGTGGGGACCTATGAGGCTCTCTATGAGCTGATCCAGCCAAGCAATGCTCCCATCTTCATCAATTCCACCCGTGCCTTCATATAGGGATCTGGGTTCGTCTCTGCAGCTGCCTACCCCTGCCTCGTGTGTCCCCCGTTACCTGTCCCCAGAGCCTCAGGTATGGTCCAGGCTCTGAGGAAAATCAGGGTTGCTGTGTGGGAACCCCTCTGCCTGGCTCCTGGATACCCCGGGCCAGGTAACCTGAGGGCAGGGGAGAAGTGGGGTGGCAGACATGCAGAAGTGCCACTAGTGACAGGGCCGCCATCGCTCACTTGTACCTATTTACACCCAGACCTTTCCAGCTCCCCCTCATCATGCCTCCTCCTTCCTCCCTTCCTCCCCCGCTGCTGGTGCGCCTCACCCAATTCATTCTTACTGCACAGTTCACTTTATTTAACAATTTTAGTGTCCCCCACCTCATGTTTTCACCTTTTCTGGTCTAGGTGTAGATTAAATAACTGGGAACTCCCCCTCTTTATAAAGCTGGGCCTCTCTCTCATCTCTCTGCCAAATGTTGTATCTCAGTATTCTTCCTACTCGAGTCTCCAGGGGCTGGCTGGACCTACCTGGTCATTTGAAACAGGCCTCCCAAACTGGAGTTTTTAATCTTGACCCTCTGGCTTGCTGTGCCCCTTAAGGCAATGCGTCTCTTCCGCGGATTCCTTAGGATGGGTCACAGTACTGTATTCTTAGTTGCTTTAGCTCTTAAAACATAGGAAGTGTTGTCTAAACGGAAAATATTTATCTTTTATTTAAAATCAGATTTTTGTTTTTAGACTGTCTCTAGATCTGGGGCTATTACGAATGACTTCTTCTTCAGTAAACTTTGACTCAACTTCTCCTGCTGAAAAGAAGCTCGCTCCAGGAGATGTCTGCTGGGGTCCTCGGCACTCTTGGCTGAGGACGCAAAGGTTTTAATCAGGATCATCTAAAAATGTACCTCGGTGAGGAGGCGCAGATTTTGCCTCCTGTTGACCAGCCTGGTTTCATACTGAAAAGACATTGAAGGACTGCAGAAATGTGTGGGTGCACTGGGCCGAGGGAAGGGTGGCTGAGCGAGAGGCGTATAAAATGGGGCTGTGTGCATGCAGGCCCATGTTTCCGCCTCAGCCCATGCCAGGTGAAAGGATCAGCAATGCTCAGTTGCCATCGTGCTGGGACGACACCCGCTCTATTGCCACGGATGAGTAGCTGAGGTCAGTGTGCACAGAGAGTTTGACGTTAAGTTTATAGACTTTACAGCAGCTGGTCTGACACTACGCGCGGTGCTTGGTTGTTTACAATCAGTGGGGAATAGGGCAGAACCAGTGCCCGGCCCCACACTGCCTCTGTGGCCTAGACTTTGAAAGGAACCACTGAACACTAATTATGAGCCCTGTCTTTCCCCCAGAATGCCTCCCTGGGTTTCGCAAACAGCCTTGAGGTTGGCCCTCCTCAAAGTCAGCCTTCAGATTTGGGAGCAAACTTCAGAGGAGGCAGAGGAAGATACATTGCCTTGCTGTGGACTGCCTCTTCTTTCCTCTTGGTGTACAAAGTATTTCAGAAGGCCATTGATGAATTTCCCCTCTTTAGCTGTGTGTGTGTGTGCACAGTGTGTGTGTGTGTGTTCCTGTGTAAGTAACAGACCAGACCCCTTGTCTCCTCTGTTCCGTCACCAGGCTCTTGCTTCACTGCAGATACAGTTCACTCTGAAAGTTGGTTGAAGGAGAGCAGCAAAAATGTATCAGGGGTTTTGCTTCTGTGTTTCACCCAAAGCTCATAAGGGCTGTGACCCAGCCACATGGCCCCAGTTTTTTCTGTCTCTCCTGTTCCAAAGCCAGGGGAGCTGACTTCCAGGTGAAGGGATGGGAAAAGTGGACTCTCATTGTAGTGACTCCCCACCTACCTAATAATTTGTTAACTTAGGAACATGCCGTCATTGTTGACTTGTTCTTCCTTAGGAGAAGGATGCTTTTCACCACCCTTTCTGTTCTATGGTGGACTCTTAACAGGTGCTATGTGACCACGAATCTAGCTGGGAGTAGCAGAGGCCCTGTCTTCTGAAGTCTCAGGTTTAGAAGTTACCAAAGTGGGCTCGGAAACTGTCATCTCCTGGTTCCAAGTTCGGGCTCTGGCAGCCCAGCCACTATCTTAGCTGTCTTCCCCAGCGGTGCTAAGAGTGGTCTCAGTGAGAAGGTAGAGGCCACCTGGAGGGCCAGACCTGTGTCCTGCCCATGTCCTCCTTGGTGGATGTTTCTGTTTACTCAGAGCTGCTAGAGGCCATCCTGCCCAGCCGAGTTCTGAGATTGGGACTGTGATGTTGGCACCTGAGGACTGGATGGGAGAATATTGGGGGTCCCCCCAGCTCTTAGCAAGATGCAGGCTATTGCTGCTTGGCTGTGAGAACACGGTATGTAGGAGAGTTGGCTGTAGCTTTAGGATTTCTGGAAGCCAATTTGGCATTGCCTGTTTGATCTCTGGCTTGTGTTCCTGCTACACTGACAGACTGATTGCGTGGCTCTTCCAGAAGACCCAGGAAGGGCGCTGCAGCTGGAGGGCCTTCCTGGCTGTGCAGGTGCACAGCTGTTAGGCATCAAGCAAAGGATCAGCCAGTCAGTAGTAGTGGGAGGAAGCCCTTCCTCCTCTTATGCAAGCAGCCCTCAGCCAGCCCAGAATCTCTTATGCAGCCCAAAGGGCTTCTTGAAGCAGAGAACCCTCCCTGGTGTCCTCCCACGATAAGTAGAAATACGATCACAGAGCAACAGAGCAAAGGCTTTCAGGAGTGTGAGGCTGCATCTGCTGGAGCAAAGGGGAGCCGTGGGCTTTCCCAGCCAGATACTCTTGAGCTTTGTGACCCTGCTCCTGTCACCCCAATTTCCCCAAGCCAGAGGTGGCTTTCTCAGAGCCCCTTGGTGGTTCTCTCCTCCAAATGCTGCTGTTGGGAGCAGGCTTCCAGCTCTCAGTGGGCAGTGCACCTCCTGCTAAATGCAGACACTTGCTGGGAAGTGTGAGCTGGCATCTTCTGTTCACTCTGCCTAGCAGTTGTCACCATTCACAAGTGGCATTATTTATGTTGTGCTGCTGTCCAGCTGCTAAGATCCCTTCATCTGCACAAGCCGTGGCGAGATACATGTGAATGTGTGTCATTTCACTTCAGCCGCCCTCTTCCATCTCTCCTCTGCAGCCGGATTCATTGGCTGATGCTCACTGCTCACTGTCTATCCCCAGGAAATTTATAGTTTTATCAATAGTCTTAAAGTATTGATCCTAAACAAGTGCATTCGAAAAATCATGTTTCTTCTCTCTCATCTCTCATCTTACTTTTCTCTTCTCAGATTTCTCCCTTCCTAGAACATTATCTCTCTTTAGCACGAATGTTCACCTCATATTTTTCGGAAGTGCAAAAATCTCAATTTATGTCTGTTTACAGCTCTCTGTCCTCACTGCTCACAGCAAGGGTTTCTGTATCAGTGGATTTTATTTTGTAGCTGCTGAGATGTTAAGGCAAGCTTCAGCATCTGCCCCCACTGGGTCCACAATGCTGCTTCCTCAATGCTGCTTCCTCAAAGAGAAGACACAGAGTCCAAGTGGCAGGACGAGGCTGGCTTCCAGTCTGCCTTAGAAGTTAATTTTCCAAAGTACATTACAGATCTCTGAGGCCATTAGGGGAAAAGGAAGGGGTGTGGTTTGTCTTTGAAATTACGGTTAATACTTTTAGACAGTAAATCCGACTGGTTGCAAGGCTATTTGCCCCGACAATATCAGCCTGTAACATTTCTTCTCTTTCCTTTGTGCCACTGAGTCATTCCCTGGCCAGAGGACATAAATGGTGCTGATAGGAGGTTATCAGAGTAAGGAAGGTAGGAGATATAGGTACAGGGTGCCTGTCATTCACTGTGTTATTTGGTTTAAATCAAAGTGATTCTGGGGAAGCTATGTTCTTTCAGTGGATAATAAAATTGGTAACTCTATTGTAAAACATGTCAATGGTGTGTGAAGAAAATCAACCAATCCGTAGGTGTTGCTAACTAGACAGTACTGTGTATGTTACGTGCCTGCGTGGATGTGGATCATGCCAGAGTTCATAGATGCTGTTTGGGGGTTTGCACATGGATCCTATGTTAAGCTTTTTCTTTTCAATAAATGAATTTTATTTTTTATTTTTGAGAGGTTGCTGTCTGTGTCTTTTTTTTTCCTTTTTATATCACTCAGATCCCTTGACTAGATACTGGGTTAGATGTTTCTGGTTTATGCCACAGAGTTCATATGAGAGTGGCACAAGCAGTAGACCCTTCCATGGAATTAAGAGTTGCCCAAGAAGAAAGGGACCAGGAATGTTTTTTTGTTTTTTTCTGTTAGACAATCCTCCCCTCCCTAAACCTCCTTCCGCTTCTCTTGAAGACTTGAGTAAGAATTTTCAGCCCTCTCCTTGCATAGCAGATGAGCCCACGTGACAGGTGTGATGGCCAGTTTTATATGTGTCAACTTACAATTCAGTCAAACACTAATCCAGGTGTTGCTGCAAAGGTGTTTTGTAAATGTGGTTAACGTCTATAATCAGTTGCCTTTAAGTAAAAGAGGTTTTCTCAGTATTGTGGGTGGGCCACATTCAATCAGTGTAAAGGCCTTTAGAGCAAAGCTGAGGTTTCCTTGGAGAAGAAATTCTGCCTCCAGACTGCAGCATCAGCTCCTACGGGCCTGCCCTGTGACTCGCAGACTTGCCGGCTCACACAGTCATGGGAGCCAGTTCCTTGATCTCTCTCTCTCAGTCTTTCTATGTGTATTTGTATTCATATATGTGTATGTATATATGTGTGTGTATATATAAATCTCCTACTGGCTTTGTTTCTCTGAAGAAATCTGACACAATAGGTAACACTTAATTTTCTTGAAATGTGGAGATTAATTTCAGGACAGGACAATGGAAAAGACACTCCTTCCCTTCCCTTTTTGTCACTGAGTGGGAAAACACACTTAAGGCTTAAAATGTTTATTCTCAATACATTGGTTCCCCCCCAAAAAAATTACTTGGAATTTGTTCCCACCAGCAAGCACGCAATCAGTTCTGCAGCAAACATGCCATCAGTTCTGCAGCAAACACTAGCCAGGTGTGCTCCAATTCAATTCTGACACCACCTGCCTGGAGATGGCATCAGATCCCACAGGATGAGGGCTCAGTCCCCAAGAGTGACACCCCTCACCACCACCACCACTTCCAGTGCCAATTGCAAGTACCAGGTTGTTTACCTGTGCTTCTGACTGGCTAAAAATTGTAAATCAGGGTTCCCATGACTCTGTTTTGGGGTTTGATTAATTTGCTAGAGTAGCTCATAGAACTCAGGGAAATACACTTACTTGTATAAGTTTAAAAACAGAGCCTTCAAGGAACACTCTTAAAAGTATAATATTTTACGAAGAGAGGAAGGCAGGCATATAGTCTATTTTCATTGTCATTATCATTTCTGGAACAGGAAGGTCAAAGAGATTTAGCAGCTATGCCAAGCTGCCCACCAGTAGGTAGCAGCATTGGGATACACATGCAAGTCTTCTGGTTCCAGAACCTGAGTGTTTCCCAAGGCGCTGGCTGCGTGTCTTTGTTGCAACCTCAAGAGGGAGGTTTGCCTTGAGGAATTGTCATGAGGGTTAGAGAGAATGTTGTAAAGTGCCATATGTCATAATCACAAAGGACTTATTAAACATTTTCTGAAATATTCGCTGACTTGTAGAAAACCAGGACTCCAAAGTACTTCTGCTTGTTGTTCTGGCTGTCCGTCCATGCACTGATGTCTTGTTGACTTCCTCTGTGGAGAGCACTCGATCCTCTTTTAGGTTGTCCACCTCTTGAAGTTTTTATTTCTGCTCACATTTATACCTAATGGCTGTAACCTCTTCTTCCAGAGAGCCAGGGCCCTCCGGTAAGCCCATTGCACTACTACTGGAGGCATAAACCTGAGTGACAGTGGACCCTAAGCCTGGGGCTCTTTGCTATGTAGGTTGCCTTCCTCATACTTAGCCTATTGTGGTTGTGCTGAGGAACTATGTGTGTCTTTAATGGGTATGCTTTACTAGACCCTTGGCCATTGGTCTCCTTTAAAAAAAAATGGGGTAAAATTTACATGTAATTAAATTTAGATCTACCTTTTCAAATGTACAGTTCAGTGTGTTTTGCATACAGTCATGTGACCACCATCTCAGTCAAGATACAGACCATCTCCTTTGCCCCCAGAAGGTCCCTTGTGCCCCTTTGCAATCAATCCCATCCTCACACCACTCAGTTGCTGGCAGCTACTAATGTGTTTTTTCTGTCTCCAGTTTTGTCTTTTCTAGAATGTCATATAAAACCATTACGTATGCAGGCCTTTGTGTCTGGTTTCTTTCACTTAACATAATCATGCTTTTTTATATTCCTCCACGTTGTTACATGTATCCATAATTGATTCTTTTTATTGCTGAGTAGTATCCATTGCATGAGTGAACCATAATTTGTTTATCCATTCATTAGTTGATAGTCTTTGAGGCTGCTTCAAATTTTTAGCTGTTACGGCTTAGTTATTTTAATGTAAATTCCTGGTAAACAATTTAGAAACTGCCTTTTCTTTCTTCCTTAAAACTCACTTGTAACTGCTGCTAATCAGAGTATGTTATGAGGGCAACTTGAATCTGTGCACCCCAGTGGCCATTCTCAAGTTTTGGGCTCAAATATACTCTATACTTAATTATGAAAAAATTACTATTATGAATAAAGCTGCTATAAATACTTATGTACAGGTCTTTGTGTAGACCTATGTTTTTATTTCTCTTGGGTAAATACCTAGAGGTGAAATGATGGGGTTGTATGGGAAATGTGTGTTAACTTTCGGCAAATTGTTTTCCAAAGTGGCCGTTCCCTTTTGGATTCCTAATGTATAACAGTTACAGTTGCTCCATATCCTCACCAATGCTTAATATTGTGGTCTTTTAAATTTTAGCCCTCTAATAGGTGTGAAGTGGCATCTCATTGCAGTTGTAATTTGCATTTCCCCAATGACTAGTGATGTTTTGCACCTCTTTACATGCTTATTGGCCTATCTTTTTAATGAAGTATTTGTTCAAATATTTTGCCTCTTAAAATTCAGTCATCTACTTCTTTTGATATGTTTTTTATTGGAAAATAATTGTAGATTTACAGGAAGAGTCAAAGGCACAGGAGGGAGGTCCAGGTCCAGAGCACCCTTCAGCTGGGCTTCCCAGTGTTAATATCTTGCATAACTGTAGTACATTATCGAAACCAGGAAATTGACATTGGCGCAATCCATAGAGCTGATGCAGATTTCGTTAGTTATACAGATACTCATTTGTTTGTGTGTGTGTTTGTGTATAGCTGTGTGCAGTTTTATCATGAGTAGCTTTGTATACACCACTACCACAAACTAGATACCTAACTGTATCATCACCTCAAGACTCCTTTATGCTACCCCATTATAAATACCCACTCCCTTCAGTCCCCCACATCCCTAACCTTCCCCAGAAGCCACGAATCTGTTCTTCATCTCTATAATCTTGTTATTCATGAAATAAATAATAATAATTCAATAAATTGAATTATGCCATATGTATCTTTTTGGGGTTGGCTTCTTTCACTCAGTATAATTTCCTTGATGTTCATCTAAGTTGTTGCATTTATCAATAGTTTGTTTCTTTTTATTGTCGAGTAGGATTCCATGGTACTGATATTTAACCATTCTCTCACTGAAAGAAATATGCATAGTTTCCAGATTTGGTTATTACAAATAGAGTGCTATAAATATTTGTGCAAGTGTTCCTGCATGAAAATAGTTTTAATTTCTCTGGAATATATGCCCAGGAGCACAACTGTTGAATTGTATGGTGATATGGTTTGGCTGTGTCCCCACGCAAATCTCATCTTGAGTTTCCACATGTTGTGGGAGGGACCCGGTGGGAGGTGATTGAATTGTAGGGGCATGTCTTTCCTGCATTGTTCTCGTGATAGTGAATAAGCCTCACGAGGTCTGATGGTTTTAAAAAGGGGAGTCTCCCTGCACACGCTCATTCTCTCTTTGCCTGCCGCCATCCACTTAAGATGTGACCTGCCCCTCCTTGCCCTCCACCATGATTGTGAGGCCTCCTCAGCTACGTGGAACTGTAAATCCAATTAAACCTCTTTCTTTTGTAAATTGCCCAGTCTCTGGTATGTCTTTATCAGCAGCGTGAAAATGGACTAATACATATGGTGAGCCCCATTATTAGTTTTAAAAGGAACTTCTAAACCATTTTCCAGAATGACTGTACCTTTACTACCCTAGCAACAATGTATGAGTGGTCTATTTCCTCTGCAACTTTGCCAGCCTTTGCTGTTATCACTACTTGTGGGTTTTTGTTTGTTTGTTTGTTTTTTGAGATAGAGTCTCTGTCACCCAGGCTGGCGTGCAGTGGCACCATCTTGGCTCACTGCAACCTCCGCCTCCTGGGTTCAAGTGATTCTCCTGTCTTAGCCTCTTCAGTAGCTGGGACTACAGGTGTGTGCCACCATGCCCAGCTGATTTTTGTACTTTTAGTAGAGAGGAGGCTTTGCCATGTTGGCCAGGCTGGTCTTGAACTCCTGATCTCAGGTGATCCACTCACCTTGGCTTCCCAACACTATTTGTTATTGTAACCATTTGTTAGATCCTGTGTTTTGTTAGATTTATACTTAAGTATTTAATTTTTTTTTTGAGCAATTATAAATGGTGTTTTCTTATTCCAGTCTCTGTGTGTCCATTGGTAGTATATAGAAATACAACTGATTTATGTATTTTAATCTTGTATCCTGTGACCTTTCTGTACTCAATAATTTTGTGAGTTTTTGGTTAGATTTCATGCTTTTTTTTTTTTTGAGACAGAGTCTCGCTCTGTGGCCCAGGCTGGAGTGCAGTGGCATGATCTCGGCTCACTGCAAGCTCCACCTCCTGGGTTCATGCAGTTCTCCTGCCCAGCCTCCCGAGTAGCTGGTACTACAGGCACCTGCCACCACGCCCGGCTAATTTTTTGTATTTTTAGTAGAGAGAGGGTTTCACCATGTTAGCCAGGATGGTCTCGATCTCCTGACCTCATGATCCACCCACCTCAGCCACCCAAAGTGTTGGGATTACAGGTGTGAGCCACCGTGCCTGGCCGGGATTTTCTTTTTA